TGTCTCAGACGATCATCTGATCAGGGTGAAAGCATTCGTAGAGGCTCCAGGCGAGAACGAGCCCCTCCTGACTGTGACTGACATCCCACTCAGCAGACCTGACGTCTTCATACAGGTGGGAACACCTGTAGGGGTCACCTGGGTTATTATAGTTTTATATTTTCTAACACGTTTTAACTTTTTGTTTGTAAGTCAGAGCTGGTTTGTTTGTCCCAGTTCAGGTTTTTTTGTTTGAAAATCTTTCACTTTAGTTTTTACTAGTTTCAGTGTTGGTTTGAGTCTTTTCAGTTATTATTGTGTGGAGGGGACACGTCAGAGGAAGACTTTGGAAAATCAGTATTCCAGTAAAAACTCTTTGTGAATGCAGTTGACTCGCAGCCTTGTAGACATTCAGTTTCAGACGTTCCAGAACACAGAGCGGTCTCCTCATTCTCCAGGTTCCTGGGAAGGCTTTTGTTCGTGAACAAGTAAAAGCTTCCATCTCCTTCACCAATCCCTTACCAGTTCCACTGAAAGGAGGTGTGTTCACTGTGGAGGGTGCAGGCCTACTCTCTTCCACTAAGATCCATGTTAGGTAAGTAATGGGTCTGCTGTTTAGAACAAAAGTTTAGCCCACAAAGCAAAGCTTGTCGCGTGTATGAAGAATGAGGCAATGGGTCCAACATTGGGAAAATGTGGGATAAATGAGTGCGTGGGTGGGCGTTGTTACATAGAGACTATAAGTATATACTTATAGCAGCCCTCTCAATCCCTTAAAAGTATCAGTATTTTACAATCTGCCTAGCGCAGTAGGGACTCGCTGTGGTCATTTGGATCCCTCAGTGTAATAATACGGTTTTTCTGGGCCAGGACAGAGTTGGTCCAAAGGCCAGTCCTTGAACAGGGATTTTTCCATGTGTGAACCAGTGGCTTGATTCTGATAAACTGCCCTTGTAGGTTATTCCTGATGACTTTAATGTGGCACTGAGGCACAAATACAGCAGTCAGTAAAAAACAAAATAAAGAAGAACACATGCATCTTCTCTTCCAGTGAGGACATTTCTCCAGGACAGACGGTGTCCATTGTGGTGTCCTTCTCACCCATGAGGACTGGGGTGAGGAAGCTGCTGGTGGACTTTGACTCTGACCGACTGAAAGATGTCAAGGGAGTCACCACAGTGGTCGTCCGCAAGAAGTACAGAAATATCTTCGCTGAAATTACCGAATTTTATTAAGCAACCTTTAAATAATCTGAGACGTGTCCTGTGAGCGGATGAGCCATCGAGCAATCCGCATGTATGTGGAATAAAACATGTTCCACATACATCAGCCTGTGAAAGTCCACAAATACATGATGATAAAGCATTAGTTTGAAGCCACTATGTGCCAGGTATGAACATTTCTGACTTTGCATTATCATATTTTGCATTTTGTTTCGGTTTCACTGCGTTAGCGTCTCATTTCTTACCTTTGACTTTTGCAGTTTGGTTTTTCTGCTGAATTTTGGCGCCTGGCCGACAGTTTAAAGGTTTCTAATAAAGGAAATTCTGTTGTTGTTTGTATTTTTTGTTTGTTTCTTTTTCACTGTTTGTAATCACAAAGTTCAAATGAATGCACTTTTATAATATTTGTGTTTCAGCCAATATATAAAAACATATACAGAAGTTTTTTCTACCAGTTACTTTATGTCTGTGAAGGTTCTCAGTCATCCAGGTCATCGTAGTCAAAGGAGCTTGCAAAGAAAAGCGTCTGGACTTCTTTAAGTTGCTTGAAGACGTTTCACCTCTCATCCGAGAAGCTTCTTCAGTTCTAAGGTCAAATGGTGGAGAGTCCCAGATATAAACCTAGTGGGAGTTTCCCCCCACAGAGGGACAAAAGGACCCCTGATGATCCTCTAATCGCCTGAGCCAAGGTGTGAAACTGGGTGTGGGTCCCAATCAGCCAGAGTTTCGGGTGTGTTCATTGTGAAACCTGGCCCCACCTTATCATGTGATTTCCTGAGGTCAGATGGCCCAGGATGTGAGTGGGCGTTAAGGCGTCTGGGAAGGATCTCAAAACTGGATTATAGATGGCAGAGAGTTGGTGTCGTAAGCCCCGCCTCTGTTCAAAGATGGTCGCTCACAGTGGACATAGATGCTTCTTTCACTCCTCTTTCAAACCATCTGTCCTCTCTGTCCAAAATGTGAACATTGGCATCCTCGAAAGAGTGACCTTTGACCTTTAGATGCAGATGGACTGCTGAGTCTTGTCCTGTGGAGGTGGCTCTTCTGTGTTGTGCCATGCGCTTGTGAAGTGGCTGTTTGGTCTCTCCAATGTAGAGGTCTGAGCATTTCGGGAAGCTTATATTTTGGTATTTCCGTTGATCCGTACAATAAATTTGCATATTAGCCTAAACATTTAGGTTTAACATTTAACATTTAGATTTAATATTTAACATTTGATGATGAAAAGTTACAAATATTTTACTAAATGTTGGAAAAAATTAATCGAAAAAATATGTTTTTGTAAGGTTTTGAGCTAAATGTGGAAAAATGTTGCCGTTAATTTCAGCATATTTCACTTTACAAACGGCGCCCCATAGACTGCGGGGTTTTGGAAACAAATTCAAATGTGCAGCTCTGCTATCACTTCCAACATAAATGAAGACAGAAACGAAACAGCAGTGACGTTTGAAGGGTTACTGAAGTTGGGCTAGCTGGTATATAATGATGTGCTACGTGACCGCTAGCGACACAGCTATGTTAGCATAATATAAACAAGCAAACTTTTTTCCCACTCAATAAAAGTTAACGTGAGTGTTCTCGGTGGTCAGGAACAAATGTAATCGCATGGCAGGATGCTGTAAAAGGACCAAACTTCAGCCAGGAGAACAACTGAGATAATCCATCCACAATACGAGGTTAGTCATTCATATACTGCTGCATGGGCTGGGCTGTAGTTACATCCTAAGGTTTTAAAAACTGAGCTTAAATAAACGATTAGTGGTAATAAAAGCCGAGGGAGGTCAACAGGGATCACTGACTGTTTTAGGAGCTTTTTGAGATCAAATAGAAGAAAATACAAAACATTAAACATGTTAACAACACAAAAGCCATATTAAACGCAGACTACTTTAGACCCGGAAGTAGGATTCATCACGTCATCACTTAACGACCGGATAGTGGCATTGTAAAGCGCTTTGGGTGCCTTGCCTATATAGCGCCTTGAAAAGCGCTATATAAATCCAATCCATTATTCTCAGGTAGGATGGCCTGCTTTGGAAAGTCTGAGGAACTCTCATCTATACAGTTTTATATATAAGGTGATACTTGGGTTGCTGCCTTCTTATATATGTTCCCTGCTTGCAATGAAACATGCTGGTCGGTATTCTCTTCGTCCGCATGGTTACTTGTTGCTTTCTGTTCCATTTGCCCGAACTGAATTTGGTAAAAGAGCTTTTGTTCGTTTAGCACCCTCGGCTTGGAACAAACTGCAGAAAGAATGGAAAATGACTGAATTCATTTCATTAATTGTTTTTAAATCTAAATTACGAATCCTTGAGGACAAGCCCATAACATGCAACTGTTTCAATTATATCAATTTGTTATTTTAACTGATTTTTAAATTTTTTATTAGAATTTTATTGAATTTTAATTAATTAATTCATTATTTTTTTCATTTATGTTTGCATGTGTGTTGTTGCTGCCTGTGTTTAATTGAGTAATTTCTGTAACTGTGAGACACTTGCTGCTGCTCTTGGCCAGGTCTCCCTTGAAAAAGAGGTTTTTAATCTCAGTGGGATCTTCCTGGTTAAATAAAGGTTGATAAAATAAATAAATAAATAAACTTGAAATGGGAGAGAATACGATTATAATAATATGGGAAAGAAAACTGAAACCGTATAGGTAATAGATAGAGGGTGACTGTGTAACCTGTCTCACGTGGAGTCATTCCGTGAGACGCTTATTAACCAGAATCACCAGCAGAGGGAAGGCGAGGAAACCGGAACCGATGTTCCGCTAAACAGAAAAACGTTTCCGTGCTCAGTCTTTACATGATTTGAGCAAAACAAATAAAATGAAACTGCATGTAGAGCTATATTAACCAGATTTTGTTGACGCGCTATTATAAGTCAGGATGGCCGAGCGGTCTAAGGCGCTGCGTTCAGGTCGCAGTCTCCCCTGGAGGCGTGGGTTCGAATCCCACTTCTGACATCACGTTTTTGTTTGATTGTTACTTCTAAAAATGTTTTACATGTTTAAAACTGTTTCCACACGCTCAAAATCAATGTTCACTACACCACAAACACTATAATACATAATATTCAAATAGATGGCATGTCTCCCAGGGAGGGTAAGAATTTCAATAATATCATCAGTGAGAAACATATTTCTGGCTTTAATGTTTTTTTCTTTGCTTCTTGTTTTGGTCTATTTATGCAGTAATTCTTTAATAGTTGCAAAGAATTAAAATTATTTCTTTTTAATATCTCCATATTTTTCAGTGTATTCCGACTGTTTAATCTTTCAAGCTACGGTCTTTATGAACAGCACAGCAAATAATAAAGAAAGCGACAGAAGAAAAAGCAAACAAAGTATGCTGCAATTTTCAAAAGTCACAAAAATCCTCCTTAACTGACAGATTGGGTTAGTGGATTTTTTGAGTTAAACATTGAAACATTCACAGCATCCATCCATATGTGTTATTGATTAAACTAAGGAATGTAGCGTTGTGTCATCCCTTCTTATCAGTCCACAGGGGAAGAACAAACATGTGCGAGCTCCACGCCTAGAGGGCACCACCGGCTTGTGTTGTTTTTTCCTCCCTCCTCCTGGAGTTCAAACACATTAGTGACTGAAGCGCCGCAGGTGAGCAGCCTGCAGGAGCATATGGGAGGTGCCAGGGGAGCAAAAGAGAGCAACCCAAAGCAGATGGGGAGAAGATGACGACGCACTCAATATGTGTGTGGGTGTGTCAGAGGGAAAAGGAGAAGGCAATGTGTAGAGAGACTCACACCGCCTCCACCATTACACACCTGTCAGAGCAGGTGGAGACACTGACAGCTGATACCTGAACCTGGAGGTCTGGCTGGAGGGCTCCTCTTTAACTCAGTGGAGGGTTTTTGTTTCTTTTTTATTTATTTTTTCATTTTTGAAGGCATCGGGTTTTGAATGATTCTGTTTTGTCATATTTTTTATTTTTCTTGACTATTTGAAGATTGAGATTTGCTGGTGCCTCCAGTCAACGTAGGGATTCGATTTTTCATCAAAACCTTTTATTGAGAACACTTAAGGACTCTATTATTGTGGCACCTGCGTCTGTGAGAGCTCAGTCATGGCAGACTTCCCGTCCAAAGTTACCACAGAGACCAGCGTCCCTAACTCCCAGAACTCCCACGGTGGGAACAGCATCCGAGGGCTGCCTGGAAGCATATCCTCCAGGGTGGACTTTTCATTTATCCGAAGCATCCCAGCTATGCTGATGATCGCTGAAATTGTATGTAACCAACTAAATGATTACTCTTCTGTCTGTCCTGCGCTCTGCTCTGTTTAGTGGGAGGGATGCCTACTCTACTTATTTTATGTTCTGAAACCTCTTGCACTATAAACCAGCAGGGCATCGGTCCATCTTAGCCATTGTGACTTTTGACGGACAGAAACATAAAAATATTCAGTGTTCGAACACAATTTTCACACTGAAGATACAAAAGTAAGTTCCTAAAACAGCCTGTAACTGTAGTTTTTAATAAACAACAACAGCTAATTTAACATTTTGAGGGGGTTGTTTTCAATTCAACTTTATTTACATAGCGCCAAATCACAACAACAGTCGCCTCAAGGTGCTTTATATTGTAAGGTCGACCCTACAATAATACATAGAGAGAAAAACCCAACAATCATGTGACCCCCTATGAGCAGCACTTTGGCGACAGTGGGAAGGAAAAACTCCCTTTTATTTTTTTATTTTTTTTTTTTCTTTCAAATGACATCAGAAACAGCAGTATGCGACATTACGTGATGGCAGAGCTTCAGTTCATCCTTTGTCATTTTTTTTTTTTTTTTTTTTTTTTTAAATAAATAGGACAGGGGAAATGAATGAGAGAAAGAGGGGGAGAGAGAGAAAGAAAAACTCCCTTTTAACAGGAAGAAACCTCCAGCAGAACCAGGCTCAGGGAGGGGCGGGGCCATCTGCTGCGATTGGTTGAGGTGAGAGAAGGATTTAATGATAAATGATGGTGTGATTTGAATGGCCAATTTAAAATGCTTTGGGGTTGTTCAGCATGGAAAAGCTAATCAAGGTGACTCAACCTCTAGAGATGGACACGCCCCTTATTGCTGAAAAGACTTTAAGTGAATTTTAAAACTGCCTTCGATGCTTTATTTTTAAAAGCACTGAAGATTGTTTTTACTTTGAATGTTTGGAGGTTTTTTGAAGAGTGTTGCATTATGAACATGTTGTATGTTACCTCTGGTGGGAGGTGCTGGAAAGGTCCTTTAAATATGATGCTTATTTTCACCTCCCCTTTTATTGTTGTCAATCTCTTTGCTTTACACAAATTATATTTTTAAAAGAATCATTAATTATCTTATACTGAAGCTCGGTGAAGCTCCCGTGTGCCTGAGTGGACTATTTCAAGGATACAAGCCTTTAATGACACAATACAAGAGTAGAAAAAGAAACTTGTCAGCGTCGGTTTATGTTCAGCACAGAGCAGCAACCAAACTAACTAGAACTCAAACATCTGTGAGGGAGACTTTTGCTTTCAGAGGTGGAGGAGACCAAAGCAGAATGTTAGACCTCAAACACAACTCCTTACAAGCTTGAGTGCTCCCCTTACAGTATCTGCTTTATAATTTGATAGTATGACGGTGCTGTTGGTTTATGACAGAACTGCGTTTGCTGAGTTGCCAAAAAAAGTCATAAAAACTTAATAAACAAACACAAGAAGCCCTGAGCTGCAGCTGTTTACCCCACATCGCCTGATGTACAGTGAGGCAATATGCGCGTCTTATCAACCTTTGGACAGCCTGACCCATTTAAACACCGAAGACCATAAATTCCACTGCAGCAAGAAGTGTAATGGTCCTTATGGTGGGCTGAACGCAGCTCAATGCAGCTGCAAAAGACTGAACTCCTGTTCACGTGTTTCTCACCTGGGAAGAAACATTGTTAGCATGGATTAACACCCGTGCCTGTCATTGGCAATTTAAACGTTAAAAAGACTAAATGAAGTGATTTGTCTGAGTTAATGATTAAAGCAAAACGTTATTACTTTTCCGTGCTGAGTTTTGCCCGACCTGCTACTACAACACCATGAAATGTCAGCAAAAACTGCACCTAATAAAGCCCGGACAGGTGACACGTTTCACAGTCTGAACATTAACAGGGACGCCGCCGTGCACTGTTGTTCCTGCAGTTTTAGTGCAATGCTGGGGAGATCAGTGGAGTGAGACAGGAGGAGCCAAAGACCTCCGCCACCTCTCAGACGTTAGTCAGCCATGTTTCCTTTGCCTAAAGCCAGTACATACCTGAGGGGGGGGGGAGATTGGACCGAGGCTGAGAGCTGCTGTCGTATCACTGTTCACCTGGTACTTCACACAATGAGGTTTATCTGGAGAAAAAACGATTTACATAAGCAGACACCTCATTGATTTCATTTTCCAGGCTCTGTGCCACTTTCTGATAGTGAAGCTTTCCGACTGTGCACCGCACAGTAAAGCAGCATGCAGTCATTTTTATTGTTTATAGATAACCAGGAAGGTTTATGGAGCATAAACGGAAACTTGTTGACACACATTCAAATTCTGTGTCATCTGATTAATGGTGCAGACACACACGTCTTTATCTATGACACCAGCAGTCATAGATAAACGGAAAGAGCTCATCACAGGTTTAACTCACATGACTGATATATAACATAAAGATATTATATTATAATATAAAGTTATCCTGGAGTACCTACACTGTATTCCTTCACTGCTGCAAACTTTTGCTGTACCTGGCGTACTCTGTGTATCAGTCCACATCCGGTCTTCCTTCACTCATCAACCGGTCACAGCAGATGGCCCCGCCCCTCCCTGAGCCTGGTTCTGTCGGAGGTTTCTTCCTGTTAAAAGGGAGTTTTTCCTTCCCACTGTCGCCAAAGTGCTGCTCATAGGGGCTCATATGATTGTTGGGTTTTTCCTCTGTATGTATTATTGTAGGTCGACCTTACAATATAAAGCGCCTTGAGGCGACTGCTGTTGTGATTTGGCGCTGTATAAATAAAGTTGAATTGAAAACAACCCCCTCAAAATGTTAAATTAGCTGTTGTTTGACGAGCATTTATTAAAACTGAAACACAGCCTTTCTTCCCAGACGCTGTTTCCACAATGAAAAAACAGAAGTAGTAATGTGAGAGTAAAGTTTGCTGCGGCTGAAACATTGTGACATCATTGTTTGATATCCATAATGTTTAGCACCACCTTGTTGATTTTCCATCTCCACATCAACAACATCAACATAAAAAAAACAACAAGTTAGTCTCAGCAATATTTTTGCACACATTTTTAAAAACAAACCTTTTTTCATATCTCCATGACTGCATCTTTTCACCTGTCCTTACTCTGAAATTAGCAGAACACGATTAGTCTCCTGTTTCAGGTCTCCAGGTCCTGATGCAGTATTAATATACAACATGCCCTGCACACTCCATTATCCTGCTGCTGTGCTAGAGCACACAGTTTAACTTGAGCGATGTTTGAACTTTGGCCATTAAACGATATATTTAGAACACTTTATGGTGCAGAGTTGTCCACTTCATCCAGCTCGACACTGTTTTGCTTTTTTGTTTTAAATCAAAGGTGAATGCCCTCCGTTTCATTCAAGTTCCTCGCTCCTTTTGGTAAACACAGTTTACACAGCAGTGTCACAGCAAACTCCCTGGTCGAACATGTGCATCACAGCTGGACTTTACTGTTTTACTCAGGAAGTTCAAATGATTTCCTCTTCCTTCGGTTCAGAAGAGAAAAGCTCGTTATGATGCAGCTGCTTTGCAAAGGTCTACTTTGGAGAGCGTGCTGTGTATGCATGTGTGTAAAAAGTGAAACCTGACCTGTGCATACATAATGGACTGTCATGTCCTTTCTCATGAGACTGAAGCAGGAAGACGCCTCGTGTGTTTTGTACAGTACCTGCAAGAGTCGGTCAGACTGACTTTTAAGATCCCCGTGAAAACAGTCTGCCCACCTCAGTGTCACAGACAGTCTGTGGTGCTTATCTGGGCATCAGTGACCTCGTCAAGTGCAGTAAACTCAGGTTACGAGATTATTCTAAAATCTGAGATCTGCTGACGAATATCTGCTGAGCATCGCAAAGCATTTAACAGCTGTGTTTTCCTCAGAAGTTGATGGTTGAAGAAAGATTACAACAGCCATGTGTACTGTAAATGTTGGTATATATGAATTCTAAGATTTTACTCAAAAATGAACTCATACATAATGGATACAGTTGCTGGAGGTGATTACGTCGTTCTTGCATGCTCCATCTAACACAATAACTACTGCTTACCTGTGACTCAGCAGATTTAGAGCCGGTTATCTACCAATCAGAAGGTCGGTAGTTGCCCCATGTGAATGTTAGCCAAGGTATAGAAATGTCTGTTTAACTGGATGGATTCATCGTAAAAAGTACTTTGAGTGCTCAGAGTAGAACAGCACTCCATGAGCACCAGTCACCATTTGTTTGTTTGTTAATGTAATAACTGTTTACATAATTTTATTTTTCGTGCCCCCAAACTGATGCACCTGTTGTTTCCTCCCTCTCACCTATTTAGGTTTTTGGGCTGCTCCACTGGGCGCTGATAGCAGGCACCTCTAAAGTGGGAGGAGCGTATGGCTGGGTATTGTTTGTCGCCATCACCCTGTGGATCCTCACCACCGTCCTCTTCTTCGTCATCCTGTTTGGTGTCACACAAACACTGCCTGCTGTCCCATGGCCCCTGACGGTATGTGAGAGACGGAGGGCAAAGACGAATAAAGTCAAAGAACGTACACAGAGATGCTCCTTGGCAACATTTTATAAACCACCTGTGACTTCGGGCATCATTTCAGTGCATTTAACTACTTAAAAGTTGTTACATTAGAAAAACCAGGAAACAAAGAATTAATTGTACCGCAGTTACAGTATAATGTGTGTCTCCAGCACAACACACCCTGCACACCTCAAAGTGCAGCATACTTATGATCGTGGCTCAAGAGTTGGGAGTTCGCCTTGTAACCGGAAGGTTGCCGGTTCGAGCCCCGGCTCGGACAGTCTCGTCGTTGTGTCCTTGGGCAAGACACTTCACCTACTGCCTACTGGTGTTGGCCAGAGGGGCCGATGGTGCTATATGGCAGCCTCGCTTCTGCCCCCGGGCAGCTGTGGCTACACCTGTAGCTGCCTCCACCAGTGTGTGGATGGGTGGATGACTGGGTGTGTAAAGTGCTTTGGGGTCCTTAGGGACTAGTAAAAGCGCTATACAGATACAGGCCGTTTACCATTTATGTAAAATAGGAAAATTGTTTGATTTATGATTAGTAAATCACTTAAAATTACATTATTTGAATTAATTACAGTGTAATGATTCCTTTGTTTCCTGTAAAACCGCGACTCATTACATCCTCAGTCTACTGTTAATAACTTGAAATATTTGTATGTGACTATAATGACATAATTTTAAATAAAATATGTTGAAGTTCAGTCTAATTACAGGCAATTACACCCTTAGTCACGGGTTGTATTAGAAACAGTTACCGGTTCCTTGATTTTGCAGTTTGGATGTTTGGTCCTCAGTTCTGAGAGACGGTGCATGAACGTCAGCGATACTAATGTGTACTCTCACAGAGCAACAAAAAGGCTGATGAAGTGGTGACGATGACAAGGCTGCAGAAACAGCTCAAAGACAGAAAGAGAAAAAGACGAGGATGCGAGGCCACAGAGGGGCACAGTGTGGCAGGAAGACGGCGAGTCGTTGTGCATTGATGTAATGTGCGTTTTCTCCATTTGTTTCAGGTGATGGTGTATTTTAGCGCAGCCACAGTCCTCTATCTCACTGCTTTCATCACCAACGCAGCTTATGTGACTCCCTTCCAATGGTTCTATGGACATTTGGCAGCTGCTGCAGTAAGTCACCACTCACACTATCTCACAAACTAGCCCAATGTCCAGGGAACACAGACCAGCCTTTTATAACGCACTCGGTGTATTTGATTAGGTGTGCCGCTCGCTAGTGCTGTTAGTGCTGGGAACGACCTTTTGTCTTCAGAAGAGCTTAATTTCTTCATGGCACAGATTCAACACGATGCTGGAAATACCGAGTTTTTCGTCCACGCTTTCACAGCATCACAGTTTCTACAGATTCGTTGGCTACACATCCATGATGAAGGTTTTCCTCATCACCAAATCGGAAGGCTTCTCTATTTAATGGAGATGTTGTGACTGTGGAGTACAGTGAACTCACTCTCGTTTCAAGAGGACAGTTTGAGGAACAGATCAGTAGTGTCTGAAATAATTAAACCAGCCTGTCTGACACCAACAATCAAAGGCTGTCTTGGCGAGGCCTACACGCCTAAACGCACTGAGTTCTTGCCATGTGATCGACTGTTTAGATATTTGCAATAATGAGCAGCTGAATAGGTGTGCCTTATAAAGTGGCAGGTGACTATGACTTACATTGGCAGAAACATCTCCTGTATCAGTGTGTTTTACAGTTCCTCCTGCAGGTCAAAGTCTGTCCTGGTTTACAGCTTTAGCAGAAGCATTGATCACATGATTTCACACACACACACACACACACACACACACACACACACACACACACACACA